GATTCAATTAGAAACCAAGAAAAGAAAGGTTCCCGGAAAATCCCTAAATATTTGGAAACTAAATACCAGACTTGTAAATTACCCATGGATCAAAGAAAAAAAATTCAAAAAGAAATCAGAAATAATTCTGAACTGCATTTTTTTCAAAAACCCACTATGTATCAGAATTTGTGAGGCTAACGGACTACTTCGGAGACTTATGGAAGTGAACAGCTACCTCAGAAAAGAAGAAATGCCTCTCATCAATGAGCTCCGTTTCCACTGTAAGACACTAGGGAGAAAAGTAAACCCCAAGTAACCAAGAGAAAGTAGATCATACACATCAGAAGAAAACCAAGGAAAGATGAAGGAGAAAAACAATGGAGGAAAACAACTAAACCAACTACTGGTTCTTTCAGATGACCACCAAAAGTGACGAACCTCTACACGGATTTATTACAGGGAGAAAAGAGACACGAATTACCAATAACAGTAAGGAGTTATGTGACACAGCTGCAGATCCTACAGACGGTGAATCAACACGCATTAGGAGCAAGTCTAAGAAACAGAGCTGACATTTCAGATGACGGGGACTGAATCTTTACAAGACCCAAGTAACTAAAACTCCCTCAGGAAGATACAGAAAACCTGAGTAGCCCTACATGAAAAAGCAAACTGTAGGGCCACCTGGGTGGCTAAGACCGCTGAATGTCTGACTTAGGGTTTTGGCTCAGGTCTTGGTCTCACGGTTGTGGGTTTTCAGCCCCGTGCTGGGCTCCGTGCTAGGTGTGGAGCCTACTTAAAAACAAACAAAAGCTACAGCTGAAAACTTACCCTAACACAAAACCCTAGGCCCAAATGCCTCCACTTCTTCATTTAAAAAAGAAATAACCTCTTCCCAAAAACAAACTGCATAGGAGGGAATACACTGAAAAGAAACTACAGACCAACATCCCTCATGAACACAGGTATAAAAATTCTATGCAAAATTCTGGCCAATCTAATCTAACAACAAATCAAGTGTGTTACATCATGACCCAGTGACATTTATTGCAGGAATATGAGGTGGACTGAATACATGAAAAATCATCCTAAGACTAAACGAAAAAATTATGATCATTGCCACGACAGAGGAAAAAGCATGACAAATTCCAACAACCCCTCCCTATATAAACTCTCGGCAAGCGTAACAGAAGGGCACCTCATGAACCTGATAAAGGTCATGTACATAAAACCAAAACTAACATTACACTTACTGTAAAATGCAATGTCTCTCCCCTACGATTAGTCAGATGTTTGCTCTCATGATCTGCTCACCTGTTTTTAAAAGTCACCCCACACTCACCGTGGAGCTGGAACTCACAACCCCGTATCAAGAGCCACACACTCCACTGACTCAGCCATCCAGGTACCCCTCCATTCCCCTCTGTATTGAAGGCTCTATCTAGGGAGATCAGGCAAGACGAAGAAGTTAGAGGCAAAGACAGACAGAAAGACAAAAAGAAAAAAAGAATGACAGAAAGACAAAAAGAAAGAATGAAAGAAAAAGGAATCAGATTGGATAAGAAATAAAGCTGAATGTACTCACGAATAACATGACTGTCTATGTAAAAGATATGGAATCCACAAAAAAGTTCCTACAACTAGTAAGTGACCTTAACATGTTTCCAGAGAACGTCAATTTACAAAAATTAACTGTATTTCTGTATACTATAATAATTTCAAATTAAATTTTTTAAAAATCACTTACAACAGCCCCCCAAAAATATGAAATACTTAAGGATAATTATTTAAATACAGAAGACATGGAAGACCAGGACACTGGAAAGTAAAAAATACAGCCAAGAGGTATTAAGGAAGACCTAACCAGGTGTAGACATACAACAGCTCACGTGCACCACACTAAAATGCCATTTTTTCGGGGCACCTGGGTGGCTCAGGGGGTTGAGCCTCTGCCTTCGGCTCAGGTCGTGATCTCGGGGTCCTGGGATCGGGCCCCGCATCGGGCTCTCTGCTCAGCGGGGAGCCTGCTTCCCCCTCTCTCTCTGCCTGCCTCTCTGCCTACTTGTGATCTCTGTCAAATAAATAAATAAAATATTTTTAAAAAAATTTTTTTAAATGCCATTTTTCTCCAAGAGATCTATGGATTCAATGCAATCCCAATAAAATCTCACCACTTTGGAGACAGACACTGACCAGGTCATTGTAACCTGTATGGAAATGAAAAGGAGGAACTAGAATAGCCAAAATAATTCTGAAAAAGAACAGAATTGGAAAGCTAACACCGCTTGTTTTTAAGAATTACAGTAATCACAACAGTGTGGCACTGTTGTGAAAACAGATTTAACAGATGCGTGGAAAGACACAGTCCAGAGATAAACAGACACATGTAGGGACAAATGATCCTGATGACAACACAAAGACAGCTCAAACGAAAAGGGGGAGTCTTTCTAGCAAATGGTGATTAAAAAAAGACTTTGCTGCTGTACCTCACACTATATCCAACAATTAACTTAAAATGAGCCACAGACCTTAAAAATGTAAAATTTAAACTTATACCTCTGGGAGAACACCTTTGTGACTCTGGATTAAGCACAGATTTCTTGGATACAAAACCAGAAGCAAGATCCATAGAAGAAAAAAAACCTGATTTAAAAAAAAAAAAAAACTAGACTGGGGCGCCTGGGTGGCTCAGTGGGTTGTGCCTCTGCCTTTGGCTCAGGTCATGATTCCCGGGTCCTGGGATCGAGCCCCACATCGGGCTCTCTGCTCAGCGGGGAGCCTGCTTCCCCCTCTCTCTCTGCCTGCCTCTCTGCCTACTTGTGATCTCTGTCAAATAAATAAATAAATCTTTAAAAAAAAAAAAAACTAGACTACTAAATTTTATAGGTAGTCTAGTCTAATTTTCAAAAGATAATGTCAGATAAACAAAAGACAAGCCACAGACTGAGAGAATGTATTTGCAATTATAAATCTGATAAGAACTTGTGTACAAACATATAAAGAACTCTCAAAACTCAGTGATTAAACAACCCAGCAGGAAAATGGGCAGAATACCCAAACAGATCCTTCACCAAAATGGTAAATGCGTATGTTAAAGATGGTTGACACTATTAGTCATTAGGAAAAAGAACTTAAAACTACAGTACGATCCAACCACCTTCTGAAGGGCTGAAATTAAAGGACTGATCACATCAGGTGGCACGGCCGGGGCTTCACTCCACAGCGGACGGGCTCACAGTGGCACCACTACAGACCACAGCCCCACTGTTTCTTAAGAAGATAACCTATCAGGTGATCATCGATTCCATTCTTATGTATTTCCCCAAGAGAAGCAAAAACATACATGTATACAAAGTCCTGCCTTATAAGTGTTCATAGCAGCTTTATTGGTAAGAGCCCCACCCCACACTGGAAAACACCCAAATATTCACCAGCACGTGAATGAAAAACCAACTGGGGCATAGGATGGAACGGAACGCTGCGCTCGGAAAAAGCGAAAAATGACCTACAAAAGTCACAACATGAGTGAATCTCGAAATTAGTAAGCCAAGTAAAAGAAGCCTCACAAAAAGCACATATGCCATAAAAATCCATTTATATAAAATTCTAGAAAATGCAAACCAACCCAGAGTGACAGAGAGCCTGTATCAGTGGTTGCCCGGGGCAGGGAGGGGCCCAGGAAGCTTTCAGCAGTGACAGGTGTGCCACGATCTGGCGTCGCAGGGACATACACATCTTACCAGACACGGCAGAGAACAGAGTGGGAGTAGAAGTCAGCAAATCAACCCTATCATGCCCCCAACTGTGTGCGCCAAACCAGGGCAAATAAAACCTACAGAAAAGCTGGGCTCCACTTCCAGCACGTGATGCTTGTTGTACGTCCGTGTACAGCTCTACAGTCCCAAGAAAGAGGAGGAGGAGAGCACCAGGGTCTAGGAGAAAACAGAGGGCTCGCTACAGCCGTCCAGGAGCTCGGCCACACCGGGCTCCATGGCAGCACAGCTGGGAGTTTGTGATCCCGAATTCAAAACGACAGCATTGCACACTACATGTTTTGTTCGGCCACTGTCAATCCGGTCAGGACCAGACACACCGGAGGCAGAGAGCTGATGGAAGGAAGGAAGGGAGAACAGGCTGTGGGTGACAGAGGCAGAGGTGGGAGGAAGAGAGGGCGGGAAGACAAGCGCCAGCGGCCACGGTGAAGGCAAGGTGTTCACGGGGCTCGCCCTGTCAGGGGACACACCAACATGGACGCACTGCTGTCCCCCGGAAGCGCGTGAGCACTACATGCAGGAACGTGTTAACACACCGCCTCCTGGGAAGCCTCGCGAGGCGACATGCCGGGAAGGTGGGCCTTCTCGAGCTCGCGCGTGGCTCCGGCCCGTCCCCTGGGGCACCAGACACACTCCCCGTGCCTCTGGTCTGCGTGATTCCCGTCAGCCACCTTCAGCGAGTTACCTGTCCTGCTCCCACGGCCCCATCAGCCGCTCTGGGGCAGCCACGGCCCGCCCCACCGGCTGCGGGGCCTTCTCGCTGCGCTCACCTTCCAGACACAGAACCAACTCGCAGGGGAGCCGGCCGCGGCCGCGTCCATCTCCCTGACGTGGTTCTACGGCTGCCCACATCCCGGCCCCACGACAACTGCTCTCTTCCCCCCGCCCCCGCTCCTTCTCTTCTGCAAACAGCCTTCCACTCACCGTCCCTTTTTATGAAGAAGTAAGCTCCGCAGGCTCCAAGTCTCGCCTCCAGCACTCCCTGCCCCTCGCTGTAGTGTCCCGGACGCCTCGCCCTGCAGTCCCCCTCCCGCTTCGCCCCATCAACCCAGATCCGCCTTCCAGGAACCGCTCCCTGTGGGGCCTTCCTGACAGAGCTCATACCCACTTAAGAGGCAATTTCAAGGAGAATCAAAGAAACCAATGAAAGGCACGGTGTTTGGAGAAAGACTGAAGCTAAATTTTAAAAAGCAAAATGAAAAAGCTCACACTCTATATAAAAATGAGCTCATGACACAGCCTTACCGGTCTCGCTATCTTCCGGCGGAGACTCATGTTCCGAGCGACCCAGAGCCAAAGTGCTCACAGCGGTTTGGTCTGACGCCTGCCAATCCGACAGCGCCACATTCTCACGACTTTTGTCACCATCACCGTTGGCATCCAACCCTGTAATGAGGAATTTGATCCCAAAACGCAAAATCAGAATAACTTTCTTTTCAAACAAAACAAAATAAAAGCTTACAGATGCAGCTGCTTCAGTTTCTGTAACTTGGACTCCTTGGCTCTTCAGTACTATAACCACAACACAAATCTTAATTAACAAATTTTCTCAATTTTTTTTATGTTAACTAGGCTCCCCGCCCAATGTGGGGCTTGAGCTCACAGTCCTGAGATCCAGAGCTGCACGCTCTGCAGACCGAACCAGGCAGGGCCCCAGTCAGCAATTCCTTCAGATGGGTAACCGGGAACAAAGACCACACCAAAGACCACACCGTGAGAGCAAAGGCTCTCCACATCCCGGTCACGCCCACAGCTCACCCTCCTGGCCGCAGTCCGTGCACGGGCCCGACGGCTCCTCCCAGTCGGCACTCACACCGCCGTCCGCTGCGGGGCCCGCTTCCAAGTGCAGCACCGGCGTCCCCCACACTTTAGCATTAGGGTTTAACTCCGAAACCTTGGCTGTCGGTACCTAGGGGAGAATGTGACAAACATCCGTATCCCAAATCCAATCAAACACAGTTTTACTCACTAATTCATACTTGAAACACGTCTGTGTGAGAGAGTTAGGCCAGAAAGGCGGAGTCTATTTACACGTCCACTGCGGAGGAAACGTCGTGCAAAGGAACAGAAGCTGACAGGCCGAGCTCAGCTTCGTCCACCAGCAGGCTCCTCAGTTCCCAATACGCAGAAGGCTCTCCAGAAACTGCACACGGAAGACGAGGTACCTGCCTTCGTGGACATTCAGGAAATAACTGGGGACCCAACTGTCATTTCTGTCCCAGACACAACTCACAGACTGACCACCTGAACGGACTGTAGATGGATAAAATTCTTCAATCTCCACCATTCACATAAGCAAAGGAGACAGACAACACAAGTCCCTCAGAAGAGCAAAGGTCCCACAATGGTTCTGTCCAGCAAGGGCTCCGGGCCACTCACGTGCAGGACCTTGGTCTCCTTCCTGCTCCGACATGCTATTTGTCCCAAATGCTCCCCCACTGTCCACATGCTCACACCTTCATTTCCTTTGGGGATGGGTGAGCTCTTCTCTGGTGTACCTAACTAGCCCGATTTTTCTTCTCTTGCTCACACACCTCAAGTGGATATCTGAGTCTAAAGAAAAATCAATGTCCCTGGGGCAGCTGCTCCAACTCACTCCAACTCGTCGTCACAATGCTCTCAGCAAACCTAAAGCAACTTCCTTTGCCCACGTAACACAGCCTTGATACCACCACACAGAATTCGGAGTTTCCTCAGAGAGCGACAAGGGTGCTAGTCCCAGGAGCTCTCAGGGAAGGTCAGGCAGGAGCCCTGAACTGGGAGCAGCCTCCCTGCATGAGCCCGAGGGCAGATGTGGCGCTGTACTGTCCCCAGACGTGCAAAGGGTCAGGAAATATCATGATCCGCCATGGAGGACAAGTGTGGATTAATACCCTTCAGAAGACAGAGTAAGTCCCCCTGGCTGGGGTGATTAAGGCTTGCAGTGAGAACCAAACCTCTGACACGGACACGAGAGGCCATGTGGTTAGGTGACAGTATGCACTTTGCTCACACCTACAAGGTGAGGGAACCCACCACCACCCCGCCCTGGAACCAGAGGCCTAATGAGGCCTGTCTGGGATTCTCCTTATGAAGCACGCGTGACAGGGCAGAAAGCGAGGCTCCCCTTCTCCGGGAGTATCACACCCCGGAAGCACCGGTTCTTCTCCCTCCCTAAGGGACACCGAAACTTCCAGCTCATTTTCAGCGCACCGCTTCTCTCTCTTCCTCCCGTCTCTCCAGGAAGCGCTCCCTACACGCTCACGGAGCGCCTCCCCGGCGCTCAGCAGGCCGCATAAAACAGTGAGCAAGCAGACACGACCCCTGCCCTCCTGAGCAAAGAGGACGACTCAGGAGACACTCCGTGTTTCACAGACATCACTACCCTCCCCCAGCATTTCCATGTTTTCCATCTGCTTTTTTTTATTTTGTTTTGTTTTGAACTCCTCCCCTCTCTCTTTCCCAGTCCAATGCTGGTATCAAGGCCTTTTCCTCACTGGACTCTCCATCATGTACCAACACACACCAAGCCTTCCCACGTTACTGTATTCAACTCCCTGAAGTGGCCCCGACCTCAGGCACACACTCCAGTTCCTGCTGCCCACTGACACGGGTCCTTCCCAGCGTGAGCACCTTCCGGAGCTACCTGCTCTGCGGCGTCCCCCGCGCGGACTGCCCGTCACACTAGGACGCAACGCCGGAAGCAACAGCCTCAGAGCCAGCGCAGGGCTCGCCCTGCCGCAACACACTTGACCTTCCCACTGGTCCGTCCCTTCTGCTCACCACGGTACGGCTAGTGCCTCGTAGTCCTGACCTCAGTACAGTTGTGCCTGCGAAAGGTGCTCAAGGAATGAATGTTTAATAAAGAACAACAAGAATTTTGTGCCAGAACTGAGAAGAAACCGATCCTTATGAAAGGTACTACTTCTTCGGTGGTGAACACTCCAATCCAAGTCAAGAATTTGGGACTCGGCACAGTTGTGAGCAGTTAACCGTATCCAAGTGATCCTCCTGAGTGACAAGGGATCAAAGAACGGGGACATATACTTAGGAGCTGATGACATGACAACTACCCCGAGTCTGCTATGTGCCGGGCACATTCACGTACCTTCCTGCGCAGGATCCCAACAACCCTATGAGGGTGTCATGAAGAAGAAAACGATGGCAGAGAGAGCTTAGGTAACATGTCCACAAAGGCAGTAATTAGAAAACTGTTCTAACATCAGCAAAAACAAAACATTACCAAAAACTCATTACCTTCTTGTAATTCACATGAAAAATAACTTGTCTGTTGTATTTCTTTAAGGTGTGGGTCTTCTCCTGAAGTCATGTGGAACTCCAAGCATCCATCAACAACTCAAGTTTCACCTGCTTGGCGACCTTATTTTTCCACCGAAAATTCATGGCTAAGCAGTGGTTATTATAAAGTGAGCTGACCTGGGGTGCCTGGGGGCCTCAGTGTGTTAAACCTCTGCCTTCGGCTCAGGACATGATCTCGGGGTCCTGGGATCGAGTCCCACATCAGGCTCTCTGCTCAGCGGGGAGCCTGCTTCCTCCTCTCTCTCTGCCTGCCTCGCTGCCTATTTGTGATCTCTCTCTCTCTGCCAAATAAAAAAAAAATCTTTAAAAAAAGAAAAAGAAAAAAAGTGAGCTAACCTTAGTAGCCATGCCCTGAAGTAATTTTTTTTTTGAGTATTTTATTTATTTATTTGACAGAGATCACAAGTAGGCAGAGAGGCAGGCAGAGAGAGAGAGGAGGAAGCAGGCTCCCCATGGTGCAGAGAGCCCGATGCAGGGCTCGATCCCAGGACCCCGGGATCATGACCTGGGCTGAAGGCAGAGGCTTAACCCACTGAGCCACCCAGGGACCCCATCCCTGAAGTAATTTTATATAAATTTTATATAAATAAATATATAAATATATTTATATTTTATATAAATGGCCAACACCACTCTTTCAAAGTAGAGCATCCAGAAATTCTTAAAAAATAATAAATCAAGGGCACCTGGGTGGCTCAGTGGGTTGGGCCTCTGTCTTCAGCTCAGTCATGATCTCAGGGTCCTGGGATCGAGCCCCGCATCGGGCTCTCTGCTAGGCAGGGAGCCTGCTCCCCCCTCTCTCTCTGCCTGCCTCTCTGCCTACTTGTGATCTCTGTCTGTCAAATAAATAAATAAAATCTTTATTTTAAATAAATAAATAAACATTTTTAAAAGGTAAATAAACTATCATCAAAAAGGTAAGAAATAACAAGTGCTGGTGAGGATGCTGACAGGGGAGGCCGTGCACTGCTGGGGGGAACGCAGACTGGGGCAGCCACTCTGGAAAACAGTATGCATGTTCCTCAAAAAACTGAAAGTAAGGGGCGCCTGGATGGCTGAGTGGGTTGAGTCTCTGCCTTCGGATCGGGTCATGACCCCAGGGTCCTGAGATCGAGCCCCCCATCGGGCTCCCTGCTGGGCGGGGAGCCTGCTTCCTCCTCTCTCTCTGCCTGCCTCTCTGCCTACTTGTGATCTCTGTCAGATAAATAAATAAAATCTTTTAAAAAAAAAAAAAAAACCTGAAAGTAGAAACCCGTAAGATCCAGCACTCCCACTTCCAGATGTTTACCTGAAGAAAACAAAAATACCGATTTGAAAAAAAGTATCCGTACCGGACGTCCCCTGCAACATTATTTACAGAAGCCAAGACACGGAAGCCACCGCAGCGTGTGCTGCTGTATAATGCGCGACGCAGCCTCACTCGGTCGTAAGTAGACCAGGAAGGCCTGCTGCCCGCGACGACACAGGCAGAGCTGCCGGGCTCTCGGCAGAAGGAGACCCGTAGGACAGACACCCGACGATCTCACTTCTGCACGGAATTTAAAAACGAACAAATGAGCCAAGCTCGTAGAACAAATCTGGTGGCTGTGGCAGGGGGCTGGGAAACTGGGTGAACTGTTTTTTAGTTTTAAGATTTTTTACATGTGTGTGAGAGAGAGAAAGAGCGAGCACAGAAGCAGGGGGAGCCGCAGACAGAGGGGAAGCAGGCTCCCCACTGAGAAGGAAGGCCAGCGCGGGGCTCGATCCTGGGACCCGGGGATCATGACCTGAGCCGAAGGCAGAGGCTTAACCGACTGAGCCACCAGGCGCCCCGGTTTATAGCATAAATAAACCGAATTTATAGACAAAACAAACTGCCGGTTGAGCCAACGAGACTCTGGTGTTAAACGTCTGCCCTTCAGTCGCGCGTGTCCAGAAGGACCGTGAAGCGCAGGACGGGCCGTGCGTCTGGCGGTGTTCGGGCTCGTCGCGGGCTGCGGAGAAGCCGCTCCACCGACCGTGGGCTGCGGCGGCGCCTGCGGCCTCTCCGAGGAGCAGCACCCAGCACCCTGTGGCCAAGGCCTGCAGGGGCTTCTCCGGACACGAGACGGACATCCACACCAGTGAAAAGCAGCAAACGTGGAGCAGGAAGCACAGACTTGGAGTCTTCTCCGCCGTCCGAGTGTGGCCTCTGTGAGAGGACTTTAAAACGCCATGGGACAAACGTCTGCTCCGCTCCGACAAGGGGGTCGTGAGGAAGGAGCGGGCGGGGCAGGGCAGCCCTGAGGAGCAGCCGCCGCACCCTCACCGCAGAGGCCTGCACCGAGCTGCGTCTGACGGCCAGATACGTGCCCGCGACAGCTGGCCCACAAACGCTGGCCCAAATATATCACGCGGTCCACTGAGTCACGGTCCCCCGGTGGGAAATGGTTAAGCAGAGGCTACAAGAACTCACGGCCTGACGTAAACATCCAAACGACTGTCCATTATTTAGAACAGAACTTCGTGGAAGTTAAAAGCAATCAAAGTGAAGCCCCAGCACTCCCCAATAATGAACACCGATAAACATACTTACTAACTGTCCACCTCTACTCTGCCATCCGCAGAGAACAGCCTCTTCTGCCGCTGGCA